GGCACTCCAAACCTCCCTGGGCACTTCCAATTCCTGATCCCCCGTTCCATGGGGAAATTCCTGCTGCTGTCCACCCTGAGCCTCCCCTGGCCCAGCCTGGGGCCGTTCCCTCTCCTCCTGTCCCTGTTCCCCCCGGCTGTCCCCTCCTGGCAGGGAGCTGTGCAGAGCCAGAAATTCCCCCTGGATGAGCCAAATCTCCAGTTTACAGGATTTATTCTGGAGAGGACCTTGGTTTCCCAAGATAGCTGAGGGTTTTCCAGCGAGGCCTTTAGGATGCTTGCTCTCCTGGCCTGAGTTACCTCAGCAGTTACAAGCACAAGAGTACTGAGGTCACACAAAAAGCACAAACAAGGCCAAGAACAGCCTTGGCAGCAGCCATACCTTCAGAGTTGAGGGTGATGAGGGTGACGTTGTTGCCGATGCTCTGGCTGCCCACCTGGCCGCTGTTGGACACGGAGTCGCTGGCCTCGGAGCCGCTCTCGCCGTCCTCGTTGTGGCTGTCGTCGTGGCCGGGCACCTTGACCACGATGGTGTTCTGCCGGCGCCCCGGCACCGCGCTGCAAGGAACAGCGTGCACCTCAGAGAGCCCCTCAGCACAGAACTGAAAATTCCAGAGTTTGGGGTTCAGCTGGTGGCCCTGCACGTGCTCGTGAGGGGATTGAAAGCGCTAATGGACAAAAGGAACGGGCTGGATAAAATGCGCTCCTTCACACCGCTCTGCTCCTGTGGGACTCGGAGCTATCCAGCAAAATAAAAATCACACAGAATCACCAGGCTGGAAGAGATGAGTTCAACCCATTCCCAAACACCTCAACTAAATCATGGCACCGAGTGCCACATCCAGTCTTTTGTTAAAAACATCCAGGGATGGCAACTCCACCACCTCCTTGGGCAGACAATTCCTGTACTTTATCACTCTTCCTCTGAGATCAATATACTTTTGAAAATGTATTTTTTATGTATTTTATATATATATATATATATTTGAAAATATATATTTTGAAAGTATTTTTTCCTAACATCCAACCTATGTTTCCCCTGGTGCAACTTAAGACTGTGTTCTTTGGGTCACAGCAGAAGGAATAAAAAAAAAATCTTAGGTATCAACTGCCTACATCTGCTTCAATGGAAAAGTCTAGGCCCTGTGTGCAGAACAAAAGAAATATCGAAGTAATTTATAAAAATATATTAATTAGAACCATTTTCCACCCAGAATCCCTAGGTCTGCTTGCTTAAAATTCACTTTAGGTAGTCCAAGTTTTCCTTGGACTGCACAGTCCTCCTTCAGCTGGTCAAATACAGGATTTTGGTGTGCTCCCAAGGGATTGTGCATGGAAAAATCCTTCTTTAACTTAACACAGAGATAATCCCAGCTCCTCCAGGATGTTCTCTCCCATCAAGAGGGAAGCAGGAGAACCCATCCAAGCCCAGGTTCAATCTTTCCCCCATTATTACCTCGAGCATTCCTCGCTTTCCCTTCAAATTGCCTTTGAAACTGGTCCTGCCCAAGGAGGGACTGAGGGAGGATTCCAGGGATTGTCACTCACTTGCTGAGGATGTTCTCCAGGGAATCTGCCGCTCTGCTCAGCGGCTCCTCCTGCCCCACCATCTTGGCCACGATGGAATTCTGCCGGTCGTTGTTGAGGATCACTGTGGTCTGAGGGACAACACTGCAAACAAAAAAGAAAAAAAGCACAGAGGGAACAGGAATGTAAAGGAGCAAAACTTATAAATAATCCATGAAGAGGTTTTTGGTTTAAGTAATCCAGGGAGGCCTCTGGGCCTCGTCCCTCTCCCGACATTGCTGACGCCGGCAATCCATCGAGCCTGACACCTCGAGCACTCCGATTTTTCCAGAGGATGGATGGCTCCAATGGAATTATATCAAAGTCCACGACCCCTGGGGAAGCAATAAGGAATTCATCAATTCAGGACACACGGGGGAAGTGTGTAAATCACAGCTCCACCAAATTCCTTCTGGGAGAATCCCAGTGTTTGCAGAGGTGCTGTGGCTGCTGTACACGGTAATGCACCAGTTTCAGCAGACGACTCCTAGGAAAAGAGAATCTGAAAGGATTGATTGCAAAAGAGGATGATGAGCATGGTTAAAGGGTGTGTGTTGTCCTCCAGGGTGAGGAGATGAGCAGCTCAAGAAGCATCAGAGCAAACAGGACCAGACTCTAACTGAACTAAACAAGACTAAACCACCTGAGTGCATTTCACACATTAAAAACCCTAAAACCAAACACCAAAATCATTTCACGCGTGAGAAACCACAAAAAGCTTCTCTTATCGCTCCTGATGCCAATGGAGAAGGAAAACTTGAGACATCATGCAGTTTACACTGGGCTGCAAAAGGAAATGTGAAATAAACAGCTGTCTCCACATGCAGACTGGCACCTGATCTGTTTGCAGCGATTATTCACATTACTGCCACACCATCACTCAATATTCCAGAGGGGGACTGGAGACTTCAGCTGTTCCTGCTGTGCTCAGGGAGAACCGAAGCAGAGAAATGTTGGTTTAGTTTCCCTCCGCTCCCCACAGTCAACAGCTCGCTCTTGTTTCCACTGCTCCAACATCCCAAACGTGACTGGGGGTCGTTTATTTTCCCTTGGCTAATTGCTGAAGCACAAATGAAGCCAATCTGGTGACAGCAAGTGCGTTTCCTTCAGCTGTAGCAGAGCATGCACTTGAACACTCACGTGGCTGTGTGAGCCTGAAACACCAAATTATCCATCACCAAGGGGAGATAAGGGCCTGTCGTGGATCTGAGGATGAATGGATCCTGGTTTTGGCACAAATAAAATGCTTGACCCCAGAGTTTTTGGCTCCAAAAGTCCCAGGCTCCGATGCCCTGCCTCCCACTGCCAGGGCCTGCGTGTGCTGCTGGAAACAGATGGGATTCCTCAGGGAATCCAAGGATCTCAGACCTGGGGAGGCTCTGGAAGATGTCTGGCTCATCCCAGACCACTGCAGGCTCTGCCAGAGCTCCTCACGTGCACGTGGAGCTCAGATTTTAGAAAGAAATAAAGAAATGGGGGTTCTGTTGCTTTCCTGTCATTCTCTGGAGAATCAGGATTTAGCCAGTCACCTGCTCAAGGGGAAAACCCACACATTTTTGTTCTAAAAAAAAGACAATTCTCATCTCTTTTCTCTGTGCCAAACATTTAAAAACCTCACCAAACACTTGATACAACAAGGAGATGTGGCAGCTCCCAGGCCAGCAGCGCCGTGTGTGTGCTCATTACATTTCCCAAATTATCCAAACAGCTCCTCTGCAAGTTCTCACATCCCAGTTTCAATGTTCAAGTATTTTGCACTTCCTTTCAGACACTGTTCTTTATCACCATCTCCCTTGCAATCACTTCTGAAGGCCTGTTTAAAATGTCACTTACCAAAGCTTCTTTTTAATGAAGACTCTGAATAATTAATTTCAACTGGAGAGATAAATGCAATAAAATTACATTTAGAAAGTCCTTAGCATTTTGCTCTTATTAAAAAAAAGCCTTAGCACTAAAAATTGGCATAAAATAAGGAATTAGGAGGGGTTGCTTTGTTTTAGTAATGCTCATTTTTATGGATTTGCTTGAAATTCTTCCTGCTGTCCAATCTGAGGCTGCTCCCTCTCATCCTGTCTCTGTTCCCTGGGAGCAGAGCCCAATTCCCATCTGCCTGCACCTTCCTGGCAGGGACTTGTGGAGGGTGATAAAGAATTTGCTTCCCTGTGAGATCTTCTAGTCCCTGTTCTCAGATTTATCTAGAAATAAATAATGTGATTACATATATATATAAATATAATATATATATAAATACATATATAACATATAATATGTATAATATAAATAATATATAGTATATTTTATATATATATAAATAAATAGTTATGAATGGATACAAAATTAAAAATGGAATTCTACATAAAATCAAAATACGGTGCCAAGCTGACAAAAATACATTAAAATTCATTACAGCCAAGTGCATCCTTGGATTATTCCAATTCCTTTCTTCAATCTCTCCCTCTCCTTCTGAAGATGAAACAACTTTAACCATTCCTTCTGTACTAAAACACAAAGGAGGAGGAGGAAAGCTTTGGATATTCCCTCAGATCCCAAGGGAAGAAACTTTGAGTGCTGCCAGTACTCAGGGGGAAGATGGAAGGAAAATATTCCAGGGGTCAGGGGGAGTTTCACAAGCCCAGAACTTTCCATCTGTGCTCATATTCCTTTCCCCAGAAGCATTAGGACTTGGAGAGACTGGAGCAGCAATTTGCCTCTTCTTGGACACAAATCTCTAAAAAAAAATTAAATGCATGCAACCTGCAGATATTTGGGAATTTTTTTAAAGCAGTTTACTGAATAATCTGTCAAATTACGGGTGAAAATATTCCTAAAAAATAAACATTTCAACTAACGAATTGCATATTTAGCCTCTGATTTTTGTTTTGTTTTGCTTTTTTAAATACAAAAGGCCAGTCTATATTTTACATAAGGAAATTGCTGCCAAAGGTCATTTTCAGTATGGAAAATGTGCGAGTCAGATCTGATCATTCATCTTAAAGGCTGGGGTTCCACTGCCAATAATCTGCCAATCACCCCGAGTGCAGCCAGAGACAGAGAAGAGCTTTTGGCAATGCCAGGACCATCCTCTGCTCCTCCTCCCAGCTGAGCTTTCTGTTTGGAGAGAGAGGAATCAGGCAGAAGGAATGAGCTGACATTTCTCTCTTCCATGAGGATCAAAAGTTTCTCTAAAAAACCAAAAAGTGACTTGGAGGGAGATTTTCAGACAGGTTCTTCCCTTTGTCCTCACTCCCACGGATCAGTTCATGGACAAGCAATAATGGGAAGAAGAGCTGGAATTCCTGCTGGAAAACTCTCCAGCCTTAAGGAAAGCCAGGCTAGAAAAGAACCCTTGAACTCTGGTATTTCCCAGTTGAAATTAAGATTTAAATGTACAATTCATGTGTGGAGGAATATCACCGTTACCCCCAGCAGGGAGAAAATTGAAATATAACAAATATTGTTGTACAACGTGGTGTTTTCCTTATTTTTATCCCAGTTTATCTTTCACTAACACTCCTGTTCAGCCCCCCTTTGCATCTTTTCATCATTATTTAGGAAGATAATGTCAAAATGCTCCTTCCTCCTGATGGCCACATGCTTCCTTTGCCTGCTGCTCACACAGATCCAAAAAGGAGTGAGAAAACCCACTCAGGATCTCACACTGCACCAAACCCACAGATTGGCAAAGAATCCATGAAATTCCATTGGATTTATGCCCCAAGATGAACAAACCTGGCGAGGAGCAGGTGGGAAGCCAAGGCTGCACAGGCACCCCAACAATTCCAAGTGAAATTCCCAAATTTGTGCTCCAGGCACAGCCCACTGCCAAAAAAGCAGCAGTGGAATCCAGCATTTTCAGTGAGAGTTCAGGATTAAAAATTCTCCTTGGATTCTGAGCATCCCCCAGAGAAGCCCCGGGATGAGGTCCTGGAAAAGGAAAAGCCAAAGAACACCAGGCAGGGCTGGAAAAACTCCTGGAGCTGAGAGGCCTGAGAGCAATTTATAATAAAAGATAAAGCAATTATGCTTTATCCAAACAATTTAAACACAGTCAACATCGAATTTTCAACTCAAGTAAGTACAAATCGGAGATTTTCCAAGTTACAAAATCCATCTTTACCTACAGAGGAGCCTCTGGCTGGATGGGGGCAGGAAAACATCAATTACCAGCTTTAAATTAAGTTTAAAATTATTATTTTTTGAATTTAATTTTAGTTTTAATCCCATTTTCAAAGCCATTAAACTCTCCTGGGGATTTTTGTGCACTGAGAAATGCTGAATCAAGATAATAACATCCATTTCCAAGGAGTTCAACTGCCTGAGAGCCACAGGTGATCCCAAATCCTCCTGCTCCCAAGCCAGGCTCGTTCCTCCAGGGATTTTCCACCACCTCGATGGGGACACAAATGATTTGAGATCTTGGTTTAAAAAAAAAAAATACAACAAAATTTAAAAATCTCTCATTTTAACCACAGCTGAAACTGTAAAAATTAAGTGTAGTGGCACAGGGTCCAAGGAAAGTTTTGCCTTTAAGAAATACATAAAGCCAAGAAAAATAGAGGAAAAAAAAAAACAAAACCAGAAAAAAAATTGGAAAAACAAATAGCAAAAAAATAGGAAAAAAAATAGAAAAAATCTTTTTAAAAATCAGGAAAAAATAGAAAAAACTTTTAAAAATAGAAAAAATGGAAGAAATAGAAAAAAGAAGAAAATAGAAAAATATTTTTTAAAATGGTAAAGAAAAAATAGGGAAAAAACCTTTAAAAAATAGAAAAAATGGGGAAAAAAGAAAAAATAATAGGAAAAAATGAGAACAAAACAGGGAAAAAATGGAAAAAAAAGAAAAAAATCCATCCAGGCCACATGTGACAAAACCAGTTTTGAAAAGTGCTAGAAATTACATTAATTGTCAGTCTTCTACTTTTGATTATGGCCAAGAAAAGGCTGGGTCATGCCATAAGCACCAGGTCAATACCACCCTTTTTGAAGATAAATGTACTCATAAAAATACAACAGCAGAGATATCTTGTTTTCAGGCAGGCTGGAGAGAAATTTACAGTTATTACCCTTCTTTGAGCCTTTACTTCCTGAGGCAGATAAGGAGCAGC